TCTATCCACAAATTTCTCTTAGACTAGTCTTCCAAAAACAAGTTCAATTAAAAATTCTTTAAAATTAAGACATCATACCCACACACCTGCAATCCTCAGTTGTTTATCAATTTACATTGACTGCTAGCTGTAGGGCAGCATATATAAATAAACAAAAAGACATTTGATAACTCGCATCCATGAACATGGGCCGTTCCGTCCGTGAGGCCAGTTAATCACCTAACCACATTCAGCTATCCGTAACCGCACAACACATGACCTCCCGTTTTCGCCGTCTGATTTCTCAGTTCTTGGGAGGAGCAACTGTGAGACGGACCTCGTCATTATGAAGCCTTGCCTCAAAGTATAAAGAATACATCTATTTGTGATATGGCTTCCTGTGAATGGTTGTGTTTTTCACACTGTTGGTCTCTCTCTCTCATTTTATCGGTTTTAAATTATAATGCTCTTTTTAATTTTTTGTTGAAGTTAAATTTGAGTATAATGTTACGTTTTGTGTATATCACCTGTATTTTTTAAACTTTTTAAAACTTTTGTTTTCTAGGCTCTGATGATAAAATAATTTTCCGAAACGTTAGTGATTAAAAACCCAACTTAGTCAAGATGTATGTTTCCTGGTTCTCCTCTTTAAAATTCTTGACTATAGCTTTCACGTAATAAGTCCATATGTATAATAATATATATATATATATATATATATATATATATATATATATATATATATATATATATATATATATATATATATATAAAATCAAGAGCTCTGTAGAGGAGGAAACGAGCTAAGTTTCGTTTGTAATCAGTGGGGATAAAGGATAAAGATTTTGTAGTAAGTAGGTTTTCTGTATAAAACTTTCCTAAAGCTATTTTGTTGGCGATGGATATGAGCATCAAGGCAAGGCCGTCCTCTTCTATATATAGTTCCACATTTATTTGAATGTTGCCAAGTTTCATGTCAAGTTAGTTTAAGAATAATGGGAGATGATTTGGTGATCTGAAAATTGAAAATGTATCGTCCACATAACGACGAATAATTGACCTGGGCGCTGATCCTGTTTGAGTTTTCCACGATAAGGAAAAGTATTGGCTAACGAGGGACATAAAGGCAAACCTATGATAATGTTTAGAAGGCTTACCATTGACTAAAGATAAGCAGTCATTCAAGGCTAATTTTAGAAACTCTTTAAAGTGTAATTTATTAAATTCACCAATAATATCTGTAAAAGAAAATATTATATTTTCACAAATGTCGATGGTTTGAGCTAGTGAAATATTGGTGAACAATGATTGTATGTCAAAACTAGCAATAGCACAGTTGTTGAAGGAAATACCATTTAGTTATTTAACAAAACTTAACGGGACTTTCACAGTATATGAATTGATGGTAATTGGTGATTAGCATGGGAACAAGGAATTTGGACAAATTGTAGTTGAAGGTGCTGTTGAGAGGATACAATGAAGGGTGGAGAGGGCAGATCTGGTTAATATTTAGAAACTCTAGTATATTGATTCTTGTATGATAGGGGAAAAAAGAATACTTTACACAATAGCGTTTCCGTCGGAAAGTTATAGTAGAGTTATTTAGACATTTCTATTTCCCTAAAATGTAGTAAAAAATCGCGGGGAAATTCATTGTTTACTTATTACCCAACCAATCAGCTCGTTACAGATCATCGAAACCTCTAGTTAACAGTATAGTGATTTGCTACAACACTTCTAATGATCACTTAATAATTGGGCAAGATGTCAACCAAAGCTTCAATACCATAGACAAGACAAAGTGCAATCAAGGTATTAGTAGTTAATTAAATAGTTACCAATTAGTATGGAAGAGGGTAGGAAAAACTAAGTGGCAGTGGAATACTCCATGACACTCGGTGGAACTAACTGTTATTTTATCTTTCTTGTTACTTGGCATGTTGACGAGGTTTAGGATCAGTAGACTGAAAAATCTCCACGTCTCTTTGGTCATGCACCTCTTGTCATGTACTGTAATGTGCCTGATGGTTTTAGATTGTTTTTACTGGCGCAAGATAACTGCAGGTTTTAAAAAGAGAATCCGAAATCGAAGAATGTTGTCTTTACGGTGCCACGTTATTTTGGAGGCTAACAAATAATTTTATACTTTAGATAAAACCACTAAAGCGTTTAAGTGATTGGTGAAAAAATAACATGTTCAACCAGAACAATAAAAAAAAAGACAAGTGATACGCTCATGGTATTCCCCAAGCATGGGATAATGCTCCATTAAAATGGATTTGTCTAAAACCAAGGAGAAATGTTAAGCAATGTGAATTCACTAAATAAGCCATCCTTTGGAAGGAGGAGGATAATGTAAGGGGCACAGACCCGCATGACTTCTGTTGCATTCTTTATTGACAGTTTGGTCCTGCTATGATCAGTCATCTACGACACAAACCCACAGTGATATACAAGTGAAATGCACGGACAACAGTGCTGCCAATTGAGCAGTGTTAGTTCGAATCCTGCACGGGTAGTAGTGTTGTTTGTGCTACCATGAGGAGTTTATGTACAAAATTACCACTTAAATGTAATTGCTATGGTATTGTATCTTAAATGATTAGCACAGACCATTACTGGCAATATTTGGCTCATAGAGATATGCATGCATTAAAAAGTAATAGTTTATATAACATCTTAAATGTGGTTCTGAATATGGAATGGTACGTGTGATATCACATTACCTAAGAACGTCTCTAGTTTTAAACAAATCCATTTCGTGTTTGAGTATGCCAAGAACATATCACTGTGGTTTCACTTTTCTGGTTAATTGTGTTATTTCACTGTAAACACATCAAAGACAGCGACTATAGACTATCACATCGAATTTATGATATTCTATTAATCGAGTTGACGATACATGCGAGTTTCTTTTGCCTTAAAACTAGTGTACAGGAATACAGTTTAGTACAGTAATTTGTAATGAGATGCAGTCATTATTATCAGAACAAAATACTTAAATATTTTCTGCCATCACAGAACATTTAAAAATCGCCACTCTAACATTATTCTCTTACAGAATAACCCGCACGTCCGCCAAAACGTCCCCGGATTTCCCTACAATGTATTGGGGCAAGCAAACGATGATGCAGTTATGGGAGAGGTACGCGTTACTTTAAGACGGTTTTACTGCCTTAACTGGTATCTTATGTATTTGGTTCATCCGTATGTATTTGCCTTCAGTACTAGATTATGTTATTCGCGTACATATTGATGATCAGTGTTTTCAGAAGTCTTAGCGTTCATTTTTAGCACTTGCATATATACGATATATATATATATATATATATATATATATGAAATGAAGATGTCCTGGAATGTAATTGTTTGTATGTGCTATATACTATTATAATGTATTTCATGTATTCTTAAGGATGATGGTGACAGGAAGAAAAGACGAAACGGTGTTATATAAATTTTTGTTTTTTCTAAAGTCCTTTATTGAATCACATTCTGGCATGTTGCAGCTCTTGAAATTCATATAAAATGAAACTAACTTGTCTTCAAAAGCAAACAACAGATTTGTCAAAGGTGAACCAGTCACGATACTTTCTTCACTCTAGTGCGAATGTCTTCTCACCACAGAGTTCTATTTTACATAATTTTTAATGTTGTTGGACTAATGCATTACATATATCTTCTTTGTGATTTGGTGTGTAATGATTTTGTTCTGTATCACAAGACTTTTGCTCTCCAGAGAATAAAGAAACCAGAACATTGAAAGAGACGTGTGCTAAGGACACGATCCGCTTGTACAGTCGTGAACAGAAGTCCTGTCGCCCCTTCTGCTGTTCCGCGAACCAAGAGATTCAGACTCATGAACCCGAAGCAGTAGACACTGATGCATTATTCTGCCCATAAATGCTTCGGATTCATGAGTCTGAATCTCTTGGTTCGCGGAACAGCAGAAGGGGCGACAGGACTTCTGTTCACGACTGTACAGTAACAGCCACCCGGCTGCTTTGGATTTCTGACGTCATTGATTTATTACTCTTAAAAATAGGAAAACTTTACTCTCGTATTCCTCGCTACGTTGTAAGCTTTTCTTTAACAAGTAGAGCGAAAAGGTATAAATAACCCAGTACCTAAAATTTAACAATACAACTTAGAGACAATGAATAAATATATATATTTTCCAGCGTGGGTTTATCAGAGTTTACATAATTATTTTGTCGAGCACAGAATAACAGGAAGTTCTGTCCAACTCTAATAAACAGTGCTGAATTAATGCCATATCCTTCCAAACTTGAAAAATCATTGAGATCCAGCCAACTATAAGTGATGTCATGTATTTCATAAACAGCTTTAAAGGCTAGATTATGTCAACACTAAAGCAATGTTCCAGCGAATCATAAAATAAACTAATGAACCGAAATCGACTCGTCGGTTTAGAGTATCCGGATACACTAATTACATATTCTTTTGATCGAGTCACAAAACACAGAATGGGCCCTAATATAGAGCCAGGCTTCCTTTGAAATCAGTGTAAACATTGCAAAATCTAAACCTAAACTGAACAAGGGAGGGACTCTCCACCCAGGGAGTAAGCAGAGCCGAGAAACCGCGCTGCAGTTAGGGCGTGATCTCTTTATATTTCCCGAGGTTTTGAGTCATTGTGGCGCTAGACTTCAGTAACGCCTCAATTTACGTATTTACACCTTTATTTGTGATTTTTTCCCACTAATAATAATAAAAGGGTAACACATACGTTCAAACTTCAATTAAATCAAATCTAATCTCTTTATATTTACGTTAAAACTAGAGAAAACGAATGTCTTTGTCGCGTTGTGTCCCCATCAACCCTTGCGCGGACCAGGCATGAAACGCACGTGATGCCTTCTCCCACCCCAATGTAAGCTCGCGCGTGACTGGTTGATAGCTTCACATAGAAACTGCTAGAGCCAATGGGAGCGCGCGTAGCATTCTGAGCCACTCGAGGCAAGGTGGCTGCGAGATTTTGACAGCAGTTGGCTTACAGACACTGTGAAGTGAGGGTGTACACGCTCCCGCGTATCGTCCGCGGCTTTCACGTGGATTTATTTATTATAACTACAAATATGAGCTTGGCTGTGCTTCTCCAAGCTGCAGAATATATAGAACGGCGGGAGCGGGGTAAGAATATTGTGTTATGTATGCATTTTTATAATTTTACATCATAGAGGGAGGAAAGTCTTACATCGATTTTATACCCAAGCATGTTCAATTCTCAGGCAAACTATTAAATTTGTTCCATTATCAATTGTTACTTTATCTTTATAAAGCTACCAATAATTAAATCTTTTGAAGTTATCGTGGAGTTAAGTACCAAAACAGGATGAGTGTCAGACGGCCTTAAATGAGAGGTGGCTGGCATCCGCTCCGGGTAAACGTGGACGCTTTGTTTAAAGTTATATATGAAATATATAGTTATTGATAATACACATAGCGTTGTCAGTAATTAATCATTATCGTTTTCTTTGACCATTGTGTTAACTAGTGCTGAATGACATGTATTGTGGTTCAAAATAAGCTTTAACGAAAGCCATCATACTGCAATTGAGAAGCACGTGAGGGTGACTGGTGTTCAGTGGTTGCTTCTCATACACCGTGTGCTAAACTCACTTAGTAATTGGTTCGAATCCTTTATTGTTTTTATTACCATGACCATGGGGATTTCTTAACTTTGTTATCATCTTGATAGTAATTTTTAAAGCGAATCATTGGCAAGACTTACAAGGTGCTATAGAGGTTTTTGACCCAGAACCCTGGTTAGTAGGTCTTAACTATTGCATTTCAGATAATGGGATTCGATAACATTGCGGAATATTTCATTTGGAATTGCGAGACATTGTCTTTTAATTTCTTCTTTCAACTCATCGAATGTCGCTTGTGTGAGCACATTTTTTTGGGACACCCTGTATATGTAAATTTTTTATACGGGCATTAGCCCACACCAGGGCATGTGGGCGAAAATATAAATAATACATTAATAATAATTACTAAAAAAATAATAACAATAAAATGGTAATATTAATAATAATAACCATGAATAAATACGAAAATGGAAACAAAAATCAAGAGCGAGAAACGACATATTGTCCATATTCACATACCTAAAAAACAAAACAAAGGCCAATAAACCCTTAAAAACCTATAAAAAAGGCCAAAATCATCTTTAACTTTTAAATAAATCACCAGTTGTAGTAGTGCACACAACCATTCAACCCACACCACCTTTCTAGCTGCTCATTCTTAATCATTGATCATATTAATAAAATATCCCCAAATAAAAAAGTATTAGCGGTCCAACGAATTACCCAAAAGTATATTAAATCAGGGTAAAATCTTAACGAATATATGTTTTACATCAATAAAACCTGATTAATAATGTTTTCATTGAAATGTAGTCAAAATAATGAAATAATAAACCACGAAAAACGCTAAATTCCAAAGAGTCACCTATCCAAAATGGAGATATAATTACTGATGTTTCTGTTACTTTGGGGTATTTAACATAGCCGTAGGATTTACTTTTCGTTAGGTTAGGTTAGCGAAGTGCATCACGATGGATCTGAGTTATCTCTCTTGTTCACGAACTCTTTAAAATTTAGCGTTCGCCAATACTGAAAGTTTTTCGCTGTTTATTATTTCATCTTACATATTATTTTTACAAAATTACACTAAAAATATTATTAGACATGTTTTGTGTACTGTATGTATAACAGATATTCGTTAAGATTTTGCCCTGATTTAATATACTTTTGGGTACTTTTGGGTAATTCGTTGGACCCAAGTATTAGTATTCAAACTAAAGTACCAAGTACCTCTACTTGTGACAGCCTCTCTACACCCACAAGAACTACAAGGACGACGTTACGGCCGTAATGGCCATTGCTGTCGACTACCAGCAAATAAAATGAAGTCATAACATACACTCACTTGCTAAGCTTTGCAGATTAAACGGGGGCGCGACTAACAAACTACGTCTGCTACGATCTAATAAATTACAGGGGCTTACTCACAGAGGGAACACAGACATTTAACTAATTATTTATTGCGAAGTGGCAAAGGTGTCGAATTACATGCCTATTTAATTGAGGTTACAACCGGTGCAGAAGTCTTACGTGAAATTCCTGAAAAATTAGAATAAAGTATATGTAATTGTTTTTTGTTATTGTTGATCATCTTCTGGATGCAGTTCATTGTTTAATGTTCAAATCTCGAGCTTGGGTGGTGAAAATGGTTACTGGAATATCAACTCCATTGACTTGGCCTTGGTGTAATTTCAAGGGCCCAGGTCTGACTTGGTTACTTTATTAACATAATCAACAGCCATACCCAACCTGAAAAAAATCATGGCCCCGTATACCTGGCAGCCCGTTAGGGACTGTGGGTAAGTAGGATGTATACTAATTCCTTGGTATACAACGAGTCAACGTGGTCGACACTGCTTTCAATATCTTTCACTTCCCCAAGTGTTAAGTTAGGTACCCATTAACAACTGATTAGACTAGGAATACCCCTGATTCAAATTGTGATCCTTGGCACTGTATACTCGGCCGCTACACCAACTTATCCTTAAGAAAATATGTACTGTATTACAGAAAGATGTGCAGAACAGCACAGTTTTATTAAGAAATTTTCTCACTTTGGCTTCTTGTCGATTTTAGCGAGTTCTGTTGACGTTATTCTAGTAACCGTGTGGTTATCAGCACATACCTGGATCACGCGCAACTACAATTGTATTGTGTTATTTGATAATGATAAACACTGAGTTTTTACGGTACTGACTTATCTGTTGGCTTTTCAAAAGTTTCCTTTTGCCCTGAAATATCACCTACTGTATTAGCAGTACTGCATATTATGTGCCCAATTAATGTAATACTTGGGAGTTACAAATCTGACCTTGAACCACTCGTTAATGTTTGCATTGATTTGGTTTTATGCATATCCATGTAGTAAAACTACAGCTAGCACTTTAGTTGGAGATGTTCCTGGTGGAGGACAGTAATACCATTATGACTAACGAATATTAATGCCTCTTATTTGTCATCCTACAGAGATGGAGCACGGCTATGCCTCAACTTTACCTATGCCCGACCACTACAGATATTCAAAATCCTCCAAACGATCGCGATCCAAATCCAAGTTGCAGAGTAACCGGTAAGTTAACAGTGGATGAATGCTCGCGGAGATATACGTATAGTTGTTTGGTTCGTGTTAGCTACCGTATGTTGTGGAATGTTTGCTCACAGGTTAGTTTAAGCTGAGTGAATATTGATCCAGGAAATCTTTTTTGTAATGGTTTTATTTGAAAAAAAATATAATTATTATTTTGGTGACGTCATAATCTGGATGTATCTCATAATGAAACGCCCAGAAAATCGAGGACTAGAGTTAGTATTCAGTTTATGAAGAGTACTATAGTGGCATTACATGGATGTGATTTAATTTTGGCTCGCCATGTGTGATGGAGACATGGCAGTGATGAGTTGGGGCAGAATATAGTGTTACAGGTATTCCAGGAAAAGTTATGAATGTTACTGGGGATGTAAGATACTGTACTAAGAGTATGGTGTAGCTGTAGATGATTCAGGATTTCTGTTGGGCCTAAACAGGTTAAGCTTGATATTTTAACTCTGAAAATGTCGATGCGTAAGAGTTCTGTTCTAATGATTTCCCAGTTACTACCAGCTTTATAAAGCAGCAGTCTAGGGTAGACTGACCCAGAGAATTTTGCCCTGGCTACACTGACGCTGCTTATAACCCAATTCTCAGTCATCCATGTTTAGCACTGGGAATCACAGCCTTACTTATAGTGTAAATTTGGTGTCGGTACATCATTACACGTACTGTATATTATATTATCGTACTTTGTTGTTAAGATAAGCCCACCCAGGCAGAGGTCACTGACCCACATTTTCCTTGATTTATATCACTGGTTTATTCATAAACGGATATGGAAATACTGTATGATTAGGTTCTTTCAGAAATATATGAGCATGTAGACCCTGCTGCTAGATGGCATCACGAAAATTGTGACCTAGTCCCAGGTTGCTGATCTGACTTCTGCCTCGTTTACACACAATTGCAGGGTCTCAATAATTGTTTCTCTTACTATTGACAACACAACATACATATATCGTTTCTCACTATTTATTTTCATTTTTGTATTTCTTATGGTTTTTAATTATTATTAATAGTTTTATTATTATCAATATTTTATAATGTTATTTTTAATGCATTTTTATTATAAAATTTATTTACTGTGAATTATTATTTATTTTTTAATTTTGTATTTTTATTATTAATTTGATTTATTATTATTATTATTATTATTACTACTACTACTACTACTACTACTACTACTACTACTACTACTACTACTACTACTACTACTAACTACTACTACAACATTTTCGCCCCACCAGGCCCCGATATGAGTCAGTGACCTGTGCCCGGGTGGGCTAATCCCCGAAAAAAGAGTTATTATGAACTTGACCTTAACAAGAATTTCGTTTCGTCAACGTTCTAAGTATCTTATATACAAGTGGACACCCAAGTATACCGGCGTAAAATATTTATCGATGAAAGCGTTTACCTTCACGCTTGGTAAACATCGTCGTCCTAAAATTGCTGACGTTAAGAGTTGAAAAATCTTTCAGTTTTGTTCGCTTAACGAACAAATTGCTACAGTTTCCCCTCGGCCTTGTCAAGGTATGGAATTTTAAACGTAACATAAGTCCACAAGTATATTCCCATATCAGATATAAGAGTATGTCAAGCTGCCATGGCCTGTGTTCCTGCTCTCCACGCGTCAGTTTTGCTTACGTGGATTTTGCCAGTGCGTGCCGGTTGGTGGTGACCATTACATCACGTCATCACTGTAAGCAGCATACTGTACCCCCCCCCCCTCTTCTCTCCGGCTGAGCAGGTGTTGGCTGTTAGTTTGCCTAACGGTAGTGTTACATTAATTTTAAGGCAAGTGTTCGTACTTGCTGTTCGTTCATGCTGCCAGAAAAAAAAACACGACAGTGATTTTTTTTTCTTCTTCAAATTCTGATTCCATAACATTTCCTGAATGAGCTTGTACAATGTCAATCACGTTTTTTTTTATACCCTGGACCTATAATACCAGGTAGTAGGCAGCTACCAAACGGAGGTACTACTGTCTGGGAAGATATTGGAAGCATAATGTATTGTCTAATGGTAGACCCTGCTACCTTTGGTATCACAAAAATTGTAACCAGGTCCCAGATTGCTGATCTGACTTTCTGCCTCATTTATACACAATTGCAGGGTCTCAATTGGTTCTTACTATTGACAACACAACATACATACAGTATATTGTTTCTCACTTTTGATCTTTTTTACTTTTTGTATTTCTTTATGGTTCTTTATTATTATTATTATTATTATTATTATTATTATTATTATTATTACAGTGTTATAATTATTATCATTATTATTTTATTATTTTATTTTCAAATTTGTATATTATAAATTGTATTTACTTTGAATTATTATTATTATAAGACATGGCGATTTCACAGTTGCATGCTGTACTGTGGGAATACCAAAGGTTGGCGTGTTGCCCAGTGGGTATTCAGACCTCAACATGTACCCTGAGTGTCCCGTTGCTTATGGCCTGTCAGATTGCTTCCGAGCCACAGGCAACTCTTGCAGGCATCCACGCCCCGCTGAAATTCACAAACAGTAGCTTCGTTCTTATTTCAACTCCCACCTTGTATATTTTTGGGAGTATACAATGTAATTTTTTGTCAGTGATCTAAGAGGGACTAGCGGATTTATTTGATATTTGGTTTACAGCTATATCAGAACCATCTAGGCCCAGTTGGTAACAGGTTTTTCCATTAGAAATTTTGACAGTGCCAACAGCATTGCAGTTTGTGTCAGAGAAATATATATATGTAATTTTTTTTTAATTTTTGGCTTGTATCTTTTCTTTGTACTGCTTTTTTGAAGTGATTGAATTGTATTCTTTAAGTGTTCCTCATTCTCTTGAGAAATATTTGTCTTTTTTTATGTCTCTTGTTTTTGGGTGATTGCAAAGCCTCTTATTGTTTGAGTTTACAGAGTCCTTTGAAGAAATTATGCATCTAAACCATCGTCATGTCCGTCTGTGTTCAATATCTTTAAACTTTATGGACGGAATTGTAAAGGACACACCACAGCTACCCGTGGTGTGATCTTTTCAGTTCTGCCTCCCAATTACAGCGGACACAACGAGTCATACAGTTACAGTATGTGCAGATTCTGAGTGAGCATATACCGTTAGTTTGGACGTAAATCTTCCTCACAGAAATCTGTAACCACAAACGACAAGGGTCTTGGTAGCTCCATGTACGTACTGTATTCCCCTTGTCCTGATACGTTTCATTCTATTTATGTCATCACTCTTGCACATTAGTCACACACTTTCTCGGTCCACTCTTCCATTATCTCACTTCTTTGTCCTCTTCTCTTTGCAAGGCTTTTATTTCATCCCTACCTCTAATTCTCGCAGTCCTGTCTCGTGTTCTATCGCCCGAGTGTTGTACGCTTTGTTTTTGCGTCTCCCTGTCTGCGGTCCCTCCCACGAGTTCTGTCGTCCAAGTGTCGCGTTCCATCCCTTTCTTCTATCCCTTGGTCCTTAAACCTGTTTCTTCCCTCGTGTCATCTCGTTCCTGAGTTGCTCTTTCCCACACCTTCGTAGGTTCTGACGTTCTCTCGTTCTTAGCCTCTGATGTAGTTTTGCTTTCCGTAAGTTAGTCGTCCTTTTTCTTGAGTTCTGTTGGTCTTGAGGTGTCTGATATCGTATTCTCTATAGTGAGTTCTGTTCTCCCAGTGTCTTTTTTTTATCCCCCGTGTTCTGTCGGCATATCAAGTTATCTGTCACGTGTTCTTAGGTTCTGAAGTTGACGTTTTCTTACCTGCGCCTCTAGTTCATGTTGTCTCGTCCCGTCTCTCTGTCGCATGTTTCGAGTTGGTTTGTCTTGTCTCGCATTTTCTTATTCTGTGTTATTTTCTCGACTGTTTTTGTTCTCTAGTCCTTGTGTCGCTTATTTCGCATGTCACAACCTCTTTCTGTTGTCCTCTCCTATATTTATCAATTTTTTGTCTTACGCTCGCAATCGTCTCTTTCATTCTCTAGTCATTTTCTCTTTTTTTTCTTTTCTGTATCCTTTTGTTTCTCTTGGTTTGCCCTTTATTCATTTCTTTTATCTTACTAGTTCAATCGTTCCGTTATTTAGTTTTGTCTTCCTTTCTCTTCCTCTTACAGTGTTGTGTTCAGTCTTCTAAACAGACGATCAGGCGTTCCAGTGTTTGTGTTGTGTGTTCTTCGAGGGGGAGGAGGTCGTGTTGGTGCCGAGGATTTGTTTGTTTGTTAGGCCAGTATCTGGTGGGGCCTCTTTCGTGTTTGTCAGACTTAGGTACAGTAATTCGTATGTGATGCGATATCATTAGTTCATTATGTACGGTAGTCCCACCTTAATGATTCAATTATAAAATACAGGTAGATGTACTGTATTCCCCAGGTGGAAGCAGTAGGCTAATTATAACAATGGTGTGGTACAGATTAAGATATAAAGTACAGGTATCATAATGAAATTCCTATGTCAGTACTGTATGGTATTATGAAAGATGGATTCTTATAGATGTAGTTTTAAGTACAGGTATAGTGATCTCTAGGGGAATGTTTGTACCGTAAAGGTTGGTGCCACTCCTGTACTCTTGTGTTAAGTTATCACTGCCATATTCAGGTCTTTCGTTCCTCTTGTGTTACACCTGCCTGTGTCTCTGGCCTTTTTTAACGACCAGTAATAGATCTTATTAAGCTGTGAGTAAGTATGTGTGTTTGTTTTAATCTTCCTCTTTTTGTGTTCTCAGTCTGGCCTCGTGTCCATATTGTAGGCCTATTCTCGGTAGTCCCTCCTATTTTCTCTTTCCTCGGAACCGTGGCCGTGTTTCGTCCGTCCTGCCAGATTGTTTTTCAAGGTTTTTATTGGTATATACAGTATCGCCTATCATTAAAATCATGTGCTGCCCGGGTGCTCATGTCCTCTCAACCGGTGCCATACTAAGGAGGGTCCACTAATGTGCTGCAAACCTAATGAATTACACCAAATGGGGTCGTATATCAAAGAAACTGCATAATTAGT